AAACCAAGATACATGCAATAACCATGTTAATGGTGCAACACAGACACAATGCCAAAGTAAAAGAGTTAACTCATTTAATTTGATTTAAAATGCAAAAAATTCAAACCCTTTTATTCAATGATATGTGCAGTGAAAAAGTAAACGGAAAAGTGTGAGAAAACTTCTATTCTATTTTATCATGTAAAGAGAATCCATGGGAATGTTGGAATAACAGACAAGTGAATGAGAGAAAAAAAGGAAAAACTATTATTCCAATTGGAATAATATTGTTGTTATTTAAGATGGTTAATGAGGCAAAATTATTATCTTTGAATTAAATTCAATTTACACCTGAATTGACTTGTAATATCAATAGTCGAATGAATTGTGTTAACGATAATTTGGATCAAAATTACAAAGCAAGGATAAAAGCTGAAATTAATGATCTCATAAATAATAAAAATGATAATAAATATTGTAAATAACGATTATAATGTTAATGGTAATTATTTTTTTCATGTCTAAAGTTGCTGATGAAAGTCAAATACAGAATGAAAAAAAGTGCTGTTGAGGTTGGCAGTAAAGTTCAACAGGCTTGAATAGAGAATCAAAGCGCATCAATTAAAGGAAATTATACAAATTATCGTCTCGTTTTGTTTCCCTTTGTTCGTTACGTTTATTGCTCATTTAACTGACTCTAAATTATGCCCTTTCAAAGGAAGGAAAACATTAAACATTGACAAAGTTCAATTTAATAGCAACCACGAATTATTGTTGAATAATGGTTCGCTTCCATCAAATGTCTTTGGGCTCGAAAAGTTTTTGAGGTTCGCATTTTGCTTTAAAACTACTCATAAGTTGACAAAATCATTTTGCAAGGAAAAGGAATTACAAGTTCATTTAACTTGGAAAAGTTCAACTTCACTTTGAAGTTAATCTGACCAAGTTAGTTCGTTAGTAAATGATGAACTGATGAATATTGCAAAGTTTAGAGTTTTCAATTCAAATTTTTCTGAATGAATGTAGAAGCTTTTATTGCTTTGAAATGATTACACTTTTGAAGTATTTTGGGTTCAACAATTGAAATGCATTTGAATCATTTTTCGTGAGAAATGTTTTGATGATAAAATGGCCAATAAGGTCCATTAAATCATGGAAAAGTTTTTTCTGGTCAAAGAATCAAAGTTGATGAAGAGCAGAATATGTTGAGTTGTATCTTCCATCATGCATATAATATTTATGCATAAACAAAGTTTATCAATAAGATGAGTAACAATGTTTCTTCTGTGATCTTCCAACATAATATATTATTAGTATTGTTATTTTGCGCTCTTTTTCATGGTTTCATCATGGAAAGAAGCATTTTTATCTGAAGGGAAGAGGAAGAAAAAGGATTTGCCTTTTTTTATCCTTGGATAAACGTAAATGTTGAACCTTCAAGTTTATTCAATCTGATAACTCAAGCTTAACTGGACAATCATTTCTTTTACATTTTCCTCTTTACCGGCCTTTTCATCAAAACTCTAAAGAACCGTTAGACCACCATGAAAATCCCTGGTTAATGGAGACAAGAAAGATATTCAAAAATATTCAAGTGCAAGAATTTTGAAAGAAGAATAACCAGAAAAGAGAAGAAATTCCCTTCAAAGAGCTTGACTTATGACATGATGTTTCCAATCTTGAGATGAATTTCGACGAAATTTGCTTTTCTTTCAAAAAACTTCCAAACGACTGATGAAAATTAGCGCAATTGAATGGACGGAATAATGATGCAGCTAATTGAATTATCTGTGAACAAGAATGAAGTTGAAGAATGGAAAAGATGAGAAAAGATGAAATTTTCATTTCTGCTCACCTCACCAATTTTCACCATCATCCTGGAAGAAGGAAAATGGGAAAAGACAAAAAAGGAAGTTGAAAAATTTTGTGTGCAAAAGATGATGGATCACAAGGGTATTAACAGATTCGGATATGAGAGCACAATGTGCCGATGAGAGTAAAAAAAGCTATGAATTATGGTCTGGCAATGTTATTAGACTTTTCTGGTGAAACTTTGCTCACCAGTTTTGCCTTCATCTTCATCTTGCTCATATTACTTTTTGCCTTCTCTTCACTTTGTTTCTCCTGAGTAAGCTTCTTATTTATCCTGTCTGTTCCCTCTTCACCTCATCTTCATCAATATCATCTTCATAAACTTGTTCATTCCCATCAACTTTTCATAGTTTACCTTTCCCGTTGGATGACACTTGTTTAAAGATCAAGTTTCATTAGCTAAACGAAATGAGAGAAAAGAGCGAAAAAGCAAAAACAACTTTCGAAACCTTTTCCGATGTTCTATTCGACTTTTCCTTCACCTTTTCCTTTGATCAATGAACCTGCAGTTGAAGAATTGAATCATCATTCAAACCTTGAAGGAAATCCCAAGTAAGGGAATTTGAAATATCATCAACAAGAGTCATGATGAGCAAGTTAAGCCAATTGTCAGTCTGAAAATAGTTCAAGGCCCATGAATATTATGGATTGGTTGGAAAAGATATTCTGAAAGGTGATAAAGTCTATTATTCTAAGCTCTTCTTATCCAACTTCAGTGTCCATGAAAAGGGAAAATGAAGAGACGAAGAAAAAATTGTCATCACATTTATCGTCATTACCATCATTATTATTACAATTGTTATTACAAGTTGAAAAAAAAGAGTCGCATCAACATCTAAAAGAATATCGCATTTTTTTCTTTCCCTTCCCTGTTCATCAATGGAATATGATTTCATGAGATTTTACTGGAAATGTATTTTTTACTTGAAATAAAGTTGACCGATTAAATGTAATGATAAATACCAAAGTATGATATTAGCTGAATGAATAAAATCTCAGTTTTGTCCTATTCCAATGGAAGCGCATAAAAAGTACATTTTTCAGATTCAACTTTATTCCCTTTCTGACCCTTTCCAATGAAATAATTTAGTGGATAATAAATTCAGAGAAACAGCCTTTTCTCACCTAAATTCATCTTCTCTAAATTCACTCTTGTTACAATTGCCTTTAATGACATTTACAGATAAAAATAATGAGAAGAAGAAGAGAAAATGTTTACCTTATTTCAGCCTCAGATTCATTACAGCATTTAGAGATATTAGATATCATTGTGTGACTATCAACAGAATCACTATTTATCTGATTCTCTCAAGTATCCAACTTGGGATGTAGCATTAGAAGAATTATCTTCTTCTTCTCTTCGCCTTCTTTTTTATATCATCTTATTGCATTTTGATGCTATAATTAGGTAAAGATTACTTTTCATTTTAATGATAAAAGTTGAACCATGAAATAGAAATGAATTCAATGAAAAAGTAAAAAAGTGGAAACTTTTTTCTTCTCCTCTTTTCAGTTTTTCTGCAAAAGCTGTTAGTTTCATTCAAACTGTAAATGCCATTTGAATGTAATATTTATGCATTTAAAAATGGATTAAAATATTTTTTTCCTTCCCAAGAAAAGTTTTATCACTTTTTTCTCGACATTTCATTCAATCATTATCACGTTTGTTTCGTAATGAAAACAAATTCTGTGTTCTGAGCTCTAAGTCTTTAATTCCTTTCTTTCGCAAGCTAATTTTGATATTGAAGCTCCAAATGCTTAAACCCATTAAGGATGCACTCATTAGAAATGGAGAAAATTTTAGATCTTAAAGTCATTGATGTTTCAATGTTGGTCATTAGAGATGAGAAGTTGAATCATTTTGAAATTTTGTTGGAAATTATTATTTAATAATTGATTGTAAACAGGGCGAGACAGGTTGTGTAAACAGGGAATGTTTGAAGAAAAATTGGGTTAAAAGTGAAGCCAGACTGATGATTATTTTGGATAAAGAAATAATATTAACACAAACAAGGTGTTGAAAGGTTTAACTAGTCTTTTTATTGGATTAACCGGAGTATTTACAGGGAGTTTCTTTCCTGTTCATTTCTTGATAAAACAGATAATCAGAATAAGATGATGAAGGAATAAACACAGACAGCAATGTAAAGACCTTTCATCACAAGAGCAAGTAGATTTAACGTGCAAAATGAGATAAAGGGTAAAGCAGGGAATGACTAGATTCTTAAATAATGTGATAACAAATTGAAAGCAGAATAAAGTTGATATGAAAAAATTGATTACAAAAATTTCTGTCTCTTTCATGTTCGAGTTTATTGATTAGAATTATTGGTGGAAGGTATTTTTTAATGCTTCGAGCGTCACAATAAGAATTTAGATAATTACGAAAGTACAGTTAATTAAACAAGAATGGAAAAGGTTGACATGGTTGATTGAGTGATTTGAAAAGAAGAGGAAAGTGAATCATCTGATATTGATTAGAGTTCCATGAAATCAATAGTGGAACTTTTCTATTGTTGATTCTTGCGAACATAACGTCAACGATTTCGTTCGAATTGCAATTTTCTTGAGTTCGCATTATTGACTTTAATTTTTTCGATTATAAATTTGCTGAGATAATTTTATTCCTAACTGAATAAGGAATAATAAGTTTCTGGCAAAAGTTTAAGGGAATGAATAGAAGGCAAGTTTTCTCTGTTTTGTCTGATTATTGTTGTTGCATGAAGCCAATGATAAGATAACTTGGAATGATTTATTGTCATTTTGATAACTCATTTGATTACCCTGTAATAGTTGTCATCACCTGAACAATTGCTTCACATCAAGTTGATGATCAATGCGTTGAGGAGAGGAAAAAAAAGAAAGCAAAATATAAATAAGAAAAGAGAAAATAACATTTTTCTGATGATATCATTCAAGTAACATGATAATGATAAGCACATGATTATTATTACTGACATCATTATTGTTATCTTTATGTATATTCATCACTTTAGGACAAGACTAAATTGGAGTAAAATGAACCGATGAAATGTTACAAAATATTGAAATAAATGTTTGAAAATTTTCTGCCAAAAAAATCCTCCATTTTAAAGAAAAAAATGAATATTTTATTTTTGCAAAATTCTAATTGACATTATTTTCTTTAGATATTTTGCTGGAAGTCATTTCACCAAGTGCAGTACTGTTGATGGTTTTCTGGGCGAAGACAGGTCAAGAGTGACACCGACCAATGGAAACAAAACAGGTAAATTTAAGTTTTAATCAACTTTGAATTAACGCAAACCAACGAAAATGTTGCAAGTTGAGTTTTGTGCGTTGGAGTTGAGATGAATAATGGACTCGATAATGGTTAAGACTTGGTTCAACTTGAAAGTAGGAAAATTAATTGAACTCTATAATACTATTAATCTGGAGTCTGGTGCATTTAGTGATAAGAAAGTGGCTGATGGTGAACATGGTAAGGTGGACAGTTGATGTTGCTGGGAGTGATGATGATGCAAGTAAATATATTATGTTTATACGTATAAATGTATAAACAGAGCATTGTCAGGATTCAATGAAATGACTGATGAAATTGGATAAAGTTGATAAAGCTTCTTAACGAAAGATGAAAGCGAAAAGGTAAAAAGCATTTTACTCGGTGAATAGCTAAAGATAACAAACTTGATGTTATCTTTCATCTTATTTGCTACTTTCTTCATCTTCTCACCAATTCATCATCTACAACCAAATAGGAACCGAAAAGAGATGAAAGAAAATTTTCATCCACAAACTGATTTAATTCCAAGTACAAAGCCTAATCGGTTAACATTAACCATTACCAGTTTAATTCCCCACTTAATTCCCTTTACCTTAAATCTACTTGAAACTTTTCATGTCAACATTCAATACTTTTCAGCCAACTTTTGCTCCATTCAAATGATTAAAGATTCACTTTTGCGGCTCAAATGAGCAACCAAAATGAACAAATTTTGCGCTTCTTTGACGAGAATATCTTTGCTCTTTTTGGATCAAAGGTTGTGAATGAAATGTGAAAACACTTTATTGATCAACTTTATCATTCCAGTTGTTTAGTGAAGCGACACTTGAAAACTCGAGATTATCCATCAAATGTCACGGGATAAAAATAACTCAACTCATGGGAATAATTAGACAAAAAGGTGGTAAAAATATTGGTTCGAGTGAGAAAATTGTGGCTTAATCAAGAGGAAAATTATCATTCATGTGATTGATTGAAAATTCAAGGATTAAGATGTTTACCATAAAAAGGGAACAATTTGCTCATTAAAGCTTTTTTCCATGTTCAGTACAAAATTCAATTTTACTTCATGATGGCAATGTTTTCATCCTAGTCAAACAGTTGAATCATTATCATGGTCATTAACATTGAGGGAAATTTTCAGATAAAATATCAACTTTGGCTTTTAGAAAAGGTTAGAATGTGAAAAATTTTTGAACTTTTGCCAGGATAAAGGGTTAATTTTTATTGTGAACGGTTGGGTTGATTATATTTTCCAGTGAAAAGACTTGCAAGGTTGGTAAAGTTGACAGATGAAGTGATATAATGTATCAATATTGAGAATGATAAATGATGATGAACAAGAGAGTGAAATATCGCAAAGGATTTAACAATTGTTGTCCGACAGTTTGAGATGGAGAAATGTTAATATTTGTAACTTTATTTTAGAGCTTTAGACCACTGGGAGTTTTGTCAAAATGAAATGAAATGATTCAATTGTTTTTGTCTGAAAATGTCATATTAATACTTTTCAAGGCAACAACGGAAAAGAAAAATAATTGTTTGTAGTGATGGTAAACTTAATGATCTTGATGTGGTGAATAAAATTAGAATGTGATTAAATAAATGGCTTTTTATGGGAATGCTCGAAATATTTCACATCCCACCACCCGGACCCCAGGTCAAGAGTGAAATAAGCGAAATTACCATCTGACCTATGCTGAAAAACTTTGAGACAACATTTTTGATCATCGATATCTTTTTAAGGTATGACTGGAGTAGTATAGTAAAGTCCGGGTCTGGGACACCATCTGGGACAAATAAATTAGAAACAATTTTTACATGAAAAATAAGCTTTTCTTATTTCTTTTTATCTAATTATTAATTTGTTTGCTCCCGAAGAGATTCGATTCCCCTTACTACAGCGTTAAATAGAATTATATCATTCATCGAGTCAAAAGATATTGAGGTTCCATCATGGATCGAACGCACGATTAGCACCGCTAAAGAAAAGATCGCGGCCGGTAAGGAATTTAAAGAAAAGTATGGCCTCAAAAAAGAAAAATATAAAGCAGCTAAAAAAGAAATAGACGATTTGGTTGTTGAGATAGAAGAATTATCAGAAATTCTAAAATCAAGCCAAGACAGGATTGGCAATTTGAATCAAGAAATAGAAAATAAAAATGCGGAAATAGCCATTTTGGAGGATAAAAAAATGAACTTATTGAAGATAGAAATAATATTGATTCATTTTTGAGATACATCGATATTAAATGTGAAAGCTATTTCGGAATTCCTCAAGAGGAATTCCTCCAAAGATACACGCGATGGGCTGAAGCCCGAACAAGAGAGCTCGAGCAGAGCCGAAATTTGTAGAAAAATATTATTATAGCTAAAAAAGCCAATAAAAAGCTTATTTTTTTCATGTAAAAATTGTTTCTAATTTATTTGTCCCAGACCCGGACTTTACTATACTACTGACTGGTAAAGAACGAAAAAAACACTATAATCCAGGGCTGATTTGGGTGAATCAATCCGTTTCCTGGCTTATACCGATTTTTTTTATTATTCTTGACGATAGATGAGGGAAATGTCGAATTTTGAGGTCGGTTCTCTTTGTAAACCATTCCAACCGTCATCAATTTTTCAGAACAAGCAAATTCGCCCTCCGTCATTTTGGTCGGTTTTCGGCAACAATTCCTATGATTTTTTAAATTTTTTTCATTCCCTCCTACCGATTCAATAGACTGCACCTAATTTGATTTCATGGGCCCGCCATTTGCTTACTGCATTCACACAAATTGACTGCGACTATCATAAATGAAACAATCAAATGACAATGAATAAGATTGATTTTTGGATTATTACTCAATAATCTCTAGTGTATTGCATTGTAATCATAAATAACAAATAAAGCAAGCTATCAAATGCATTTGAGTGTTTCTAATAATTGATTTTTTAATATAACAATATTAATTTTCTGGTGTATTTTTTGGCTCGGCATACTTTTCATAGATGTGTGATAATTGGCATGCCACTGGTGAAGTATGCTTACGATATGCTGGTAGTCAAATAAAGCTGAAAATTCATGAATGAGTTATTTCGAATTTCATACTAAGATACGATTAAAAAATAAAGTGAAACAACATGGACTTAGAATGAATTGAATTTTATTATGAAATGAAGATGAAAATACCGTATTCACAAGTTCGTAGCACGGTAATCAGAAATTACACCCACTTACTCAGCTACAAAAGATTTTGATCACAATATTCAGGAATAGTATCAATTATTGACTCATTTGTTGATTCTAGTTTGTTGCCTATGAAACTACATGATTCAAAAAATGATCATCAATAAAAGATTCAAGTTCATTTTCTTGATCTTGTCTATAGCACCGGTCCTCGTAGTGTTAGCGTTGAAATGCCGGCTATCACCGCTGAATCACATGTATCATGCCGATTATCCTCACAATCCTTGCCACCTTGAATCATTCTGACTGAGATAGCTCGAAGAACTATCCAAACTAAAGGCATTTCACGGGTTCATCTATGGTAATAAATTGGTAAACTATACTTCAGGTATACTGTGATAATCGACAAAGCAGAACAACAGTAAGCTAGACCCACATTATTCTAAACAAGAATTTATACACTCGATACAGCATACCTGTAATCTTCCGAGCGTTTTTTCATCTTACGCCCTCTTACAGGCATAAGATGAAACCGTTAGTGCTACAGAACTCAGACTTGAACCATGTGATTATGCAGATTGCGAAACACAAGTTGAAATGCCCAAGGTTATACAAGGTCAATTCTTTATTTGCCCTCTAAATGACATTGGAAGGTTATTTTCTGGAATCGCAATATTTTTTGATTCGATTATGTTAGTCACATGTTACAACTCATACTAGCTAAAGGATATGAGTGATTCCATATCATCCAGTTAATCAATCGTATTTCGCTAAAATTCATTTATCTTTCCAATGGTATGGGTTATGAACATGCGAACAATATAATCGAATCAGAAAAATTTCGCCAATTTCGGCCCAATAAATTGGTCATATGTAGAATAATAAAGATAATCAAATAGATATCTTTGAAGTTTGTAGACTTACAAGTAGCTTTTATCATTCTGCAGATATATTTATGTTCTGAAAATATGAACCACTCAAATGAGGAGATTAATTTACGATAAAATAAAAATTTGAGTCTTACTAGTCAAATATTTAACTTTTCTAGCTGGCTCTGCAATTTAATCACTCCAACCATCCAACAATATTCATATCATTCGCAATTTAATTTGATGCATACTGATATGAACTTGGTGGCTGTTATATCAATAGATATAGCTGAATTGCTTTAACTTGAACTACTCAAAATCTCTAACCAATGACCACATTGAACCGTATGGAAACATGTAGTTCCTTTGTCCGTGATGAACAAATTCACTTATGAATTTAATTTCGGTGTTTTTGATTGTTAATTTGATAATGTATTGAACAGAATTGAATATTAATTGAGAGCCCTCTTGAAATTCTGTCATTAAAAAACTACATCAAGCTAAATTGTTTACGCAGTTACCATTACTCTGTTACAATTAGAGATGTTCCTCTTTGAAGCAGATCAGGAGAGCAGTTCCAATTGACTAGAACCATAAGTTCGAATGTCAAATTACAAATTGACCTTGAATGACCTTGGACGTTCAAACTTGTACTTTTTCAATCTGCGGAAGCTAATTCAAGTCTGAGGTCTTTTGCGTTAATTGTTCGTGAGTTATGGATGCAAACAGCTGTAAAATGAAGAAAAAATGCCCGTTATAAGTGTTTAATCATTCACAAATCGGTGCTACAGATACCTCAAGAGCTAGCCAATATGTGACATTTTTTCGATTTAAATAATTATGCCATTCAACAGCTTGAACGAGTGTATCTGACTTTTTTGTGTATCTTTGCTCCCAAGATTGGAGAATAGGATTGCCACCATTGTTCGTCTTATTTCAGTTGTAAAAATCCTTGTTGAATCAGAGAGGATGACGAACGAGAGCAGTCTATGCCATCAAACAGCAATGAATAGATCCGTCTTTACTCAAATTTTATAGCTCGTCGCAACACACATACACAAACTTTTTGCCGTTACGCGTAATAGATTCACGGTAGATACGTAGACAAATCAGTCCTGCAAAAACGATTGCTAAACAATCTAAAATGTCCTAAATAGCGATCCTACTGATGTTGAATAGCACAAAATGAATACCGAACTTGCTGCTCTCATTTTGCTAATTTATTTAACATTTACATAAATAACCTGAAATTAGTTAAAATATTGATAAAACTGAATGGAATTCATTATGTTCTAAATTCTCATCATAGAAAAAACTTGAACTTTGATTGATGTTGATTTGCTCAATGATAATTCCAATGAATTTATTTCCTTACTTTATGCTTTTTTTTCTTTTCTTCCTTCCAATTTCACCTTCCTTCCAAAAGGTTTTCAAATTTTAAAGTTAGCAATTGAAGATGATGTGACACCAACAGAAGATGCTAAGTTAACCTTAAGTTGCCTTATACAATCAACTAATTCAATTGAGGTAAGAACAATTTTTCTTTCTTCCTTTTTCCTTCTCACATCAGTTCTTCTTTTCTTTTCCTGATTATCATTTATCAACTTTCCATTCAATAATGATAATCATATTGGTTTGGGTTAGGGATTCAGTTCAGAATAAAGATCATTTTGTATTCACATTTTGCCACCTTCTTCATGTATAAATAAGTCTCGTCTTTACCCAATGGATAAACTTGAATTTAAATTTGATCATAAATCAAATCACAGCTTTGCTCTAATGAACCTCACAAGACAAAACCGAGGTAAACCATTCTTAACCCATTGGATTACAGACTAAGGAATGGGTCAAAACATATCAAGGATAACATCAATAACAGTTTCGACTGATGAATCCTCCAACAATGAATTTGTTGATTAGCATTTGTTGAGTTTATCATAAATGTATTTCCACAACATTGGAAAGGCTCCAGACTGGCATCATGAAAATTAAATTCAAAAATAGATTTCTTTCAATTCCAAGTTTTCTGCTGAAACAAGAACTCGAATTTGAATCAACTGTTTTCTCTCTTTTTATCACTTGGATAAACATTGATTGGAAAATTTTCCTTATCCTTAACGGCAACAGAATGTTCAATGAATAATTTGAATCATGATTAACTATGTTTACTGAACAAAAACATTTTTACCTTACTTGTGATGGAATATCATTTTGAAGTTCATTTTCTTCCTTTTCCCATCAACAATTTAATCTTTCATTGAGATGTAATTGTAATGAACATCTAGAAATCTCTTGTTGCATGATAGATAAAAGTAAAAGTTTCAATTTCTCCAAGGAGAATGAGAAAAATGAACAGATGAAATCAATGATTACAAATTGGAAAGCATTTCAAGAGTAAAAAATTTCACATCAGTAGAGATTATTTTATCCCATAAACAGTAATTTGAAAAGATGTCTTTTCCATGAGAACCTTTTCACCTTCGAAAAAAAGCGATTCCAAACAGAAATTATTTTTTCATTCAAAGAGCATTTCTTTATTGCAGTTTTTTTCCTTTCTCATGTAATGAGTAACATTCAATGAAATGAATACATTTTATGGCAACAAGAAGAAAAAGATGATTACTTTTGCTCAAATTTTTTTCGCCAACACTTTATTCAACTGAAAATCGAAATTGATTAGGTCATGACATTATCATGCTGTTTATGGTAATGCCGAGAAAAAGTCAATATTTTTCTGTTAAATTTTGAAAAAATGTTTTCTTTTCTCACTTTTATTATCATTTTTTCCCCATTTCTTAACTTTTCTGCCTTCAGGTTAAATGGTACAAAGACTTTACCTTGATAGACACGGAAACTAGTTTTCTTCGTAAAATGTCAACAACCCTGGTTCGTTCCAATTTACCTGGACGGTATGTTGCCTCATTGACAATGGACAAACTTTATCCACTGGATTCAGGCATTTTCACTTGTGAAGCCTTTGATTGGCATTCACGAGTCAACAGTAGCTACGAGTTGAAAGTGTTTACCAAGCCACAAGTCAAAGTGTACCCATTGAGTGCAACCGTATACTCAGCTCAACCCTACACAGTGTCTTGTTTCTCGCTCGACTATGATCCACTGATAGGCTACAATTGGCTTAAAAATGGTGAAATATTGAATCCTCTCTATGATGATGAGTTGATTGAAGATCTGTATCCAGCCGGGATCAGACTAATTGTGCCTAAAGCTTTGACCAGAGCGGTTTACACTTGCCTGGTTACAACTCCACTGGGAACTGTTGGTAAAGAGTCAATGCTAACAGTGATACCAAGCAACATATCTTCTGGTAAGTAATAAGGAAATGACGAGAGACGAAGGGAAAATGATTTTCCATTTTTTCTTCTCCATCAAAGAATATTGAATAATGTTCACCACCAAAAGAAACATGATGAAAGAAAAACACAATTTCATCAGTTGTTGTCTCTTCAGACAATGGATCATGATTATAATTAATATTGACCTTTTTTGCCTTTTCTTTCCTTTCCCTCAGAGTTTATCCAAACTTGTCCCAAGGAAACACATGAAGATATTGATTGGCCTGAAACTGCCATTGATGGGATTGCAGTTGAACCTTGTCCACCAGGTTATAAAGGTAAATCTAATTGATCAATTAGCTTCTCTTTTTGTTGTTGAACCACAAAAAGCAAAGTTCATTTAGTCGATATAATTGAACCTATTCACCTTTCTTCAGATGGTGGAGTTGCTCGTCGTAAATGTTTTACTTCAGGTAAATGGGATGAAGCTGATTTCTCGAGTTGCCTTAATTATCAAATGTTTTATATCCAAGAAAAGGTGAGTTTTGGCCATTTACCTTTTATCTCAAACAAATTAATCACAATTAAGTTCGAGACTTTGATCAGTTGCAACCACATCAAGCTCTGTCAATGAGTCCATTTTCTTGCTTCTAATGACTCTTGACCATGGTCAATGTAAATGTCAATAAATCTTGTTCAACTTGTCAGTGATTACATCAACTCATCATTGCAACAATTATAATAAAAGTAAACAGCAAAACGAAGTCGATTTGCATAAATCTTTTTCTTTCTCTTAGTTTTTTCTCTTCTCTGTCCACTTTTGTCCAACTTTTTTGACCTCATCTTGTTGCACAAATCACAGTCAACCATCAATCAAAGTTTAATACCTTTCAACTTGCCTTGGATATATGATTACATGAATTACATTAACATTCATTTTATTATATATTCAGAATAGTTGTTCCTCTTTAGACTCATCATTATCTCACAGTCTGATCTGACCAAGGCCAGACTGGATACATTAATCTGACCCAAGTAAAGATAAACAACATTAACTTGCACACAAATGACCATCAACATTTTGTATGATTAATTGGAAATCACAAATCAAATTGACTCTCTTACTGAATCTATTAATGTTACGAGGAAAAGACTTGTGACACTTGTAGAAATGTTTATCCATTTTTCTGATCGAAAATCATTCTTTTTCTTCTTCTTCTTTTTCCTCAACCTGACAAGTTCAATATTGAATATTATTGTAATTAGAGAAGAGAAACTCTTTGCCTGGAAACATTCATCATGCAAATCACAATAATTCACAGCAATTTAAATGAATTTCAACTTTACCATTTAAAGAGGAAAAAAGAGGAGAAAAAATTGAATTCTCAAATTGACATGAATGATGATTCAATGAAACTTGATCAAATCTTAGATGCAATTCAATTCCGATTTATTAATATTTATCTTCTCATTTTGCTCTTGAAAGGAAAATTTATCAAATTGAGAGAAGAAAAAATCGCAACGAATTTTGAGCGAAAAAGGTTGGAATTTTGAATGAGAAAAGGTTAAAGATCAATTGAAAGAAGATTTTGAAGACTGAGTTGAAAATGTTGATGACACTTGAATAGGAATTTACCATGCTAATCAAATTGATTCAATAAACAAAAATGGGATAATGTTGACTGGGAGTGAAAAGAGAAGAGAGTTGAAAATAATATTTCAAAAGAAAAGGTGAAAGGAAAAGAAAAATTTTTTTCTTCTCTTGCAACTTTTCAAGGTTGGCAATCAATTGAACTTTCAGTACTCATGGTGATGTGTAAAGGTAATCTTGTAAAGTTGGTTGATACAAGAAAATGGATAAAGTTGCAGCAAAAACTGAAGAAGATCAGGGAAGGAAGGAAGACAAAAAACAGGGAAGAGAAAAAAATTGTGTTTGTTGAGAATAGAATGCGAATCTTGAGATGAAAAGAAAACAATAAATTTCTCTTTCTCTCCATTTTCCTTTTGTCTTTCTTTTATCATGTGGATTCATGTTCGTTAATAAATTGCTGGTCTCGTTGTTGGAGTTGTTATTTTCAGATTATGAACAAATTGTTCATTGCTTAACAAGAGTTAGCATTACAAGGGAAAAATAACAATCAACAAGATAGAAAACCAAAGTTATCTGAAAAAAAAATCTACCAATAGATGAACAACAGGGAGTTTTGGTGACTTTTTTGTTCTCTCTTTAGTTGAACTTTATCTCAACTGTGGAACAATTGTAAAGTGAGACAGAAAATGACAAAAATTTTGTTCAGAGGTAACGATAGATAGGAGCAAATATGAAGATGAAAGATAAGTGTTTAAAAGATGAAAGAAAGGGAATTGATTTTGATATCAATTTTTCTCTATATTAACAGAGTTACTGTAATCTTTTTTTTTGCCTCTCTTCTTTGGCTCAAATTCATTTCATGTTTTCAATTTAATGTGCTATCAATGAGAATAACGATGAAATATTTTTTATCTTTTTTTATCGCTTTTCCAATGTTATCACAACTCTAACCAACAGGGAGTGAATTTCATCTGCAGAACGTTTTTTCTTCTTTCGAATGTTGAAAGTTGAAAGCTTCGTTTGTTGCTTTAAATTGAAATGTTGAGCACTTTTGGAATGATTAATTTGGTTTGCAATTTTTGATGAAAGAAAGTTTCTTTTCTTTTTGTTGGTTGGAAAAAAGTATTTTTATCTCGCTTTTACGAAAATGATGATTCATTGAACGTGTCAACGAATTAAAAGTAACTCGTTTAACTATTTGCTTTGTAGATTGGCTCATTTATTGTTTCTCTTGTTAACTCCATTTACAGTTAAGGTTAATGATGATGATGATAGTTTAGGGAATGATAATAGCAAATGAAAAGAATGGTGAGAAAAGAAACGAGAAATTGTTTCATAAGTGTTTACTTGAATAGTCAATTATTGGCTAAAAATGAGCAGCAAATATTCTTGTGCTTACGTTTGCATCTTGAGATTAAATTGAATTGATAAGCATCTCAATTTATAGTCTATTAATGGGAAATAGAAGATGCAATGGAAAAGTTAAAGGTGTGAATATCATTAAGAGACAGTTCATGAGTAGAGACACTTTTCAAATAAATTGCTTCATTTCCAAACTTTCGTTAAACTTTGAAATGGCTTCGAAGGTGGGATTGTTGAAAAATGAAACTGTTCAGAATATTGATTATGAAATTACTTGAGACGTGGTAATGACTGGATAACTCAAACGAAGCTTTGTATTTGGCATGTTCTTTCAAGAGGTTGAGTTCAAATAAAGATACACAGGGCATTTCAGCTAATTTTATTGTTGTAAATTGGCTATATCTTTGCTCCTGAGTGCAATTTACGTGTGATATTTTGTCCATGGAAATTTGGGCCATACTCAATTGTGATATTTCAACGTCAAGGTGATTCAAGGTCATTGCGCTATTTGACCTCTAATTGATATTTGGAGGTCATTTTGTAAGAGTTCAAAAATTTTCAGATTGTTTGATGCTAGTGACATGTTCATAACTTCTGGTTCTGGTCAAAAGATATGAATTTTTACACATTGATGAGTCGATCGATTGGCTTTAAGAAAAATGCATTTATCTTCCCAACGGTTTAAGATACCAACTCGTAGTAAGCATCAACCAATCTGAACCCAATGCTTAATTTATCTCTAAAAATTGACTTCTAGAATATGCTTGGTTACCAAACAATGTGCAAAAGATAACGTAACCAGCTCTAACTTTACTTTCGATGCTGTATATAAGAGTTTCTTAATTAGGAAATTTGATTACTACTGTTGAAGACAAAATCAATGGCTGCATTTAGTGATTCAGATGATTCATTCGTAAGTCTATCCGTCAACACATTTTTAAATTGTGTTCAGAGTTTTTGAGCTCTGCTTGGTCAACCCGAGAAAATATGACGATACAGCGACTAACGTAAGTTCAATTTCATTGATAATTTTGCATAAAAATATTCAGTGAATCTGTTAAATTCAATCAAGATTTGATCAAAGTGATTGATCAATTTTTCAGAGGTAGAAGGAACAATCGCATTGCATTGAAATCCAATCACACCTCAAGTTCACTCAGGAGCAAAGATATAGCCAATTTACAACAATAAAATTAGCTGAAATGCCCTGTATAACGATAAACTTATGACTGAATGATAAACTTTCCCAGTATGATTATTTGACCTTGAAAATTATGATTTGCCTTTCTTTTGAAATCTAATATTGCTATCATATACGCCTCATTTATTAGGAGCTGAATGACCAGTTGAAATTTTCGGTCGAGGTTGCCGTTGACGTGGTAAAATATTATTCTTGCCATATTCTGAAAAAAACAAATCATAAAAATAACTGTATGATTATAATATATTATACTTAATATTATCTAATTTTTGCGTATTAGTAAGATTTAATAAAATCTTATATCTAATGAGATCTAATATCAAATGAGATTGTGTAAAGATCGAAAATTAGATTCAATATTTAAAATCAACGATTACATAAGCGCTAGATTAAAGATTAAATAATATATTAAAATGTTACAATTGAAAGATTATTTTACTTGGCGTTTCATTTATCCATTTTACCGTCGTTTGTGCTCTTTACTTTTGAACAAAGAGGTCAGATCTGGATGACATTTAGTGAGTATGACCCCTGCAATTGAATAACCATAAATCCAGAGTCTCAAGGACATTCAAGGTCATTCAGTTATTTGACCTTGAATTGACTTTTGTATGTCAATTTCTGAAAGTTAAACTTTTTCACTTCGGTTGATG